GAATTAGTATATATTCAACTCAGTAGCTGATGCATATGTGATCGAGTTACTCGGGAACATACAGTTACTGTATTCGATTAAAACTTGATGCTTTTTCCCTCGATATTCAACATTGATTAATGAGCGCCGCAAAAATGTTTATTTTTCTCAGGGTTTTAGTCAAATACAAAGAAAACTTCCGGTGTTGTTAATGACGTGTCACAAGACTAATTACCCGAGACACAGCCATTTTAGTCACGATTGAATGAGTGCTTACTTGTGTTTATTTCTCGCAATGCATGGCGATCCGATGCTATGATATTTAATAGAACGGTTAATGCCCATCATTGTTTTAATTTGTAAATATTCGAGACGAACCATGCGGTTGAACGCACCTGAACAACTACTGTATTTCAAATGGTGTTAACGGAATGGTGAGACGATATCAACGCTCACAAAGGAAATGATATCAAGTTAAACTGGGATAATCGAACTAATAAATAACTCTAACAATCTGAGTGAGCATTGTATCCTTTTCTTGTGACATATATTCTAAAATACATTATCTTTAAGTAATTGAATAAATGAACACCATAGTTAGTTTTAGACTTTTCTTAGATTTTGTTCTTGTTTGAGAAAAAACAAATCTCACATTTTCAAAACTGTGTCAAATGCATTAACAGCAAGCATGCGTGTTGAAAGATGTGATCAGAAGGCGTATTTATGCAGCGATCGGCAATTCGCTCCTGGTTTAGGGCGGGTTTAACACCAAAATTTTGAATACTGTGCCTGCGGAAAAAACTGTCCTCAAGCTATGGACGACAAAGAAAATGGACTCGTCGCTACTGTTTAGCACGTGTGAATGTTGAAAGTTCTATGAGTATTACGAAGGGTCTCTCATGAATGGTTGCCGAAAAATTAACGCAACCTTGTACCTAACTGAATTAATAAATTCGGATTTTTAATTTTTGTTAACTTTACATATATTCGGGTTTACTGTGTATTTGTCATGTTTTAGCAACTGCAATAACATTCATCATGTTCATACCTGAGGAAAAATGTTTATTCAAGTTGTATTGTAACTTAAAGCGGGGAGTCGTCATCTGCGCATGCGTCAGATGGCCATAGCGTGTCATTGTTTACAAACAAGCGTCTACCCATAAGTCTTTGCGTTTTTAGTGTGTGTTGTTATCGTCGCTTGGGACTCAATTTCCGCGCGTGCGCAGGTGACGACCCTCCCACTTTAATCATTGCATAGCATATTTCATGTCAATCTTTAGCTGGTTCTTCTTGCCTGCGAGGAAATCCAATAATGGTTTCACTTAGTCGATGTTTTATTTGATATTTGTGAGGGAGAATTCTCGGCAGTACTTCACGAAGGCTAGGCTGTACGACCGCGAGAATGTGTTGATACTTTTTCGGAGAATTGTTTGTGATCTGACGTCAAACGTCGATGGCAATATTTTGAAGTAAACATCCTCTATTTGTCTATTCGTTAAGCTTACTAAAGAGTGTTTATGTTGTCGTAATAGCTGAGAGCCGATTTACGTAAAACTTTCTCAAATAAAAAAAATAAACAACCCCAATATCTACGTTGGATTTGTCCAGTTTACGTTCTAAGATGCCACGGCTAAATCACGTAAGTCATGAACAATGAATGTTTGTTGTAAAACAGTGTCAAGAAAAAAAGACCGGCCATAGTATTTCGTGAATAGAATCACAGTCTCTCTTGAGCAGGATCTAGGTATGGTGCAGTGGTGCGCCTCGCACCGAGGGGAGGGGTGCGGTTTCCATATCTCCCAGCAGCATGCTCTCTCGGCAGTATAAATCGCTGAGTAGATCTGCTTGAACCATCCTCGGCGGGCACATCCAGCGACGATCCGGAGTTAAATCATAGAAACGAACCGTGTTTGAAACAAAGAAAATAAGCCAAATATTGTCGTGATAAGCAGTTTTTGGAATGCACGATAGAAGTACGCACATACGACTGATTTGTGATTTCTTAAGTGTTTGAACAGGATAACAAATGATACATGGCAAATCTACCTATAACTGTCAGCTCTTGACTCGCATGGAATCAATCGTGACCAAAAAACACACTTCCCAAAATAACAGAGATAAGACTGTATTTGCCAAGCTAAGTTCATCTGATGTCGTCGGTTGTTCTGAGATACCGTCGCTTAGTGATGGGTGATCGTGAACAACACCATCAATTGTGACTGATTATGCCCGTCCGACAAGAGGTCAATGACCTAAACATTACAGATTATTTGGAAGAGGTTATTAATTAACGTATATAATTAAAAAAAATTATCAACTAAAATCTATTAAAAATGTTCTTCCTTTATCTGCAATATACTCTAATTCTTGTAAAAGTCCCGTAAAAATGAAAACCTGCCAAGATATTTTGAATCATAAACCCACCAGTGCGTAGAACGAGTGAACGCCCAATTCCTTGGAAGAAATAGTGTCAGTCACGTACGATTGATTTGTCATTATTTTCTCACTTTTTGTAGCTATGGTGTCATATTTTACCCATAATACATTGCTGGTGATATGTTAATTATCTAGAGAATAAAAAGAGATATAAGCAAAATTGTAAATTACATTTGTGGAGCTCTTTCATTTAAAACTTGTTGTTTGCCGAAATTTTCCTTTTTTAAGGAAGGTGATTGTCGTTACATATCAAATGCTCTGTTTATGAACATAACATTTGACCGCATCATAACGCGCGGCTGCCTCCTTCCTTTAACATGATATCGATGATCGTGATGACCACCTTAATTTGCAGAATAAACTGTTCGTCTATGATTGTACGTGTATTCCTGTCTTACTCAGACCCTTGGAGGCGCAAATTGTATTCGTTTCGTCCGACAGAGGGCGATGAACACGTTTCTTTACACCACCTGTAGGATCTGAGTCGTTAAGCCATGCTCCGACGTACTACGATAATAGCTAACCTTTCTTTGTTTTATACATTTCGCGCATTGATATTAGGTAAACAGTTTTACGTCACGTGGCTACTATGAATACTGTATTTTTGTTATCGTGTTTATATCAGAACACCGAAAGTCTTACATATATGGAATACTTGTGATGAGTATTTGTTCAGTTGATAATAATAAACAACAAGTTTAACGACTACAGCGACTAACGACTAAATAAATGACTAAATAAATAAATTAATTAATTAATTAATTAACCTAGCACACATGAGTCACAGAGTCATATGTAGCCTCACTTGGCTTCCAATTGCAACCAAATAGTTTTCTTTCTGTCACATGTCATATGTGTTTTACACCCCACCCTAATTCGATTGTATATGCCCCTCTAGATAGCTAAAGGGCTGTTCAGCGCAAGTATATTTAAATTATGGGGCCGTTAGAGAGTTAATGTTAAAGTGTGGGGTGGGGTACAGAAGGAAGTCTACTTATATTAGTTTGTGATTGATTAAACTGGTTACTTCAGCGATAGATTTTACTTTAATACCACTGGATCAATCCCTTTATTTTCATTTGTTTTTATAATTTTCAAAAGAAAAACATTAAGACTAGTAAGCAAGTTTAATTCTTGGTCTTGTTCATGAAATAATGGACTACGCGTCACCCTAAACATTACGCTACCATGATTATTGCAAACGCAGTTGGCCGATGTTTATCTCCACCTATACTGATTGCAAATGATCACAGTAATAACTGACTATGTAGATCGAAATAAAATGATCCAGTAATACTAACCACATATATAGGTCAAAATTATTCCAATAGTGCATGTCTACCAACGTCATTGGTTGAAATGGCCACTCGCACTTTGTATCCCTCAACGTTATACGAGCAACACGTGCAATTTCAGTTTGACCTTATGCGGGCGCTCTATTGCCTAGTAAATGCGTCATTTAGCGACAATAGAATTTGTGGCATGTGGCATTCGCAGGTCACTGTTATCAGCGTTACTGTCTTACTGTGAGAGGCAAAACCGACTGACGTATCACACACAACATCCGCAAATAAATCTTCACATCGAGACTGCTCGCTAAGTCAAATGACGTATACACCCGAGATCTTTGAGTTGAAAATATACTTTTCGCACGGTTAACCGAGTTGTAGCGATACGCTACGGTTCACAGTCCGTTCCGATTTGACATGTTGATTCGAAATGAAATCAAGTGATTATTAACTGCCTTCGTAGCGACAATTTGGTGTCAGACCACACAATGACAGTCAGGGGCGATTTGCGTCGTATTTCATGATAATAGCATACAATATATACATATCTTGCTTAACTCGTAATGTCAATATTGGAATATGCAGTTTTGGGGGTGCCAGGGACTCAGTGTAGTACGTAGTATGACCTCCTACATGTTCTTGACAATGACATCGAGATTCTAATTAATTAGAGTACATTGCAATTAATGAGTTTTTCGCTTTCAATCGATCTCTAGTATTGTTTTCACGGGGGGGGGCTGAAATTGTTACGTGGGTGTAATTAAAGTGTCGATCTGCATCTGAACAGTTATAAACACGGCGATTTGTCATCGGTATTGCGCATGCGTTCATGGTGCTTGAGTAGAGTGCCCATTCAAACTTACAGACCAGTTCATTCTGATAAGCGATGCGTTTAGTGAGTTATAAGCGATCGCCGGTGAGGTAAAACACAGTATGTGTGTGGATAACATGTGAGTGTTACCGACCGGCTCGTCCACACGCGCACGGTTCCGCGGATTTTTTTACGCTGTCTATGCTGTGTCACGTCGGCCAATGCGATATCGACAGTGGCTCAGTTCGAGTCATCTCGGTCTGTTCAAGCGTCTTGTGTCAATGTGTCCGCATTCTACGTCTTATACTTTGTTCGATTCATTGCAAGTTGTTACCGCGGTCACCGCCTGCAGGTAGAACCACGCACAGCTGGAAGTCGAGTAGTTATAAGAAGACCCGCCTTTCATATAGCATTTAGGAATATACGCAATTTTTGATATACTTCCTTTAAATTTATATATTTTTTTATTATTGCATCGTGTCACCATGAACTACGTCGTTTCTTACGGAATACTATTTGTTATTGTTGCGTTCTTCCAATCTGAATACGCTTTCTTTGACCCGTTGAAGAATACTGACGAAGATGTAATTCAAGTGCAAATCGCCGTCATTCTTCCAAAGGACACTGACGAGCCACCGGAAATACGACACTATCCATACAGGTTTGAAATGGTATGTCCTGCAATCGACATCGCTGTAAACAAAGTGTTTATGCAAGGCAATTTTTTCGGGAATCGGAAGGTGAATGTGACCATTAGAAAAGTGGATTCTCGGTGTTCCAATCTTGTGTCTCCTATCCGTGCTGTTGAATTCATTACGGAAAGGCAAGTAGACGTATTTTTCGGACCAGCGTGCGATTACGCCGCTATCGCGGTCACAAGATTCGCGTCCCACTGGAATATCCCTTTTATAACGACGGGCGCTAAGGCTAAAGAGTTCGGCATGAAAGAAAAAGAGGATTTCCGCACATTGACACGAGCCCACGGTCCCTTTTTGAAAATGGCCGAATTTATGATGGAAATCTTACGAACTTTTCAGTGGAATACAACCGCTATTATCCACAATGACAAAGACGTGTCTCTGTACAGAGACTGCTGGCTGTTCGGCGGTGCCCTATTTCATTTATTTCACGGAGCCGGTTGGTACGACCCTGGCAAGGATTACGCTGGGTACCAAAAATTTGTGGAGGACGACGATCCTAATTATACAGAAATCCTTCAAGAAATTGTCATGCCGAATGGTAGAAGTAAGTGTTTTCTTACGTTTGCCATATGGGCCATGCATTAAATGTCTTTAAAAATACTTCAATCTGTTTCTGGCATGCGTTGCTTCTAATAAAAAAGAAGCGATCTTGGCTGAAAACTCAGACCTTAGTTTTTGCCCGGGCAACTGATTGACTACTACTATCTCAACGACAATAATTTGCGCCGTGGGCAGTTCTCATCGTTTAGTGAGTACGTGGACGGCCCTGTTCCCTTTGTTGCCGGAAATTGCAATTAAATTCGAATTCACCTAGCTTCACAAAAAAGGATGCTTTCATGCAGAAAATTAGATAAAATCAATTCCGCGATGATTACGTAATAGCACGATAATGTCATCACCAAGTTCAGATATCAAGGTCTATCGGCCTACCTACTACACATATACAGCGTTAGAATACGATAACCAGCAGCAACATGCTGTAACGAATGTCAGGATGGGCGCTTTATGCATGTCCCCGAAATGTCTCCCGTTCAGGAACCCGAGGGAAATTGACGATCAGTAAAAGCTGTAGTTTGAACAGAATGGCATACATTCAGATATACTTTGAGAGATGCCGGGGTGGGTGACCTTTGGTACAATCCCGCCCCGCATACGGTCTGTTAATCTAAATACTCCCGGGACACAATATAGTAATACCCGTTGGGAGAAATTTGCTCTGTTTTTAATAATTCTAGGAATATGTATGGGCCTTTTTTACTGTCCAAATAGGTTTAAATTCAGGGTTTAAATATCTGGCTGATTTCAGCTGTTCAGGGTAGCTGTTTTTTGAATAAATATGGATCTACATTTGTATATGCAAAAATCGTTAAATTGTTTCAATCGCGCTGACCAGTTTCAATACATGGGTATAAAAATGCTCACACTTTTAAAGCCATTGTTGTAGCCTTCGTTTTCCTTGTAGTCGTTAAAGTTTTCCGGTAGTCTAGCGGTTTCCTTTTCGGGCCCGTCTTTGGTACGTCCCGAGTCCAAATCCCACTTTTGGCTAAGCATCGAAAAAGGGCTTGACACCTACCATGGGCGAATGTACCACAGACCAAAGCTACTGGAGGAGATTCATTCCTTCACGGGTGTTCCTTTTGAGAAATCTCTGACAAGGTGTGCAGGTGCTTGTGTTCGACCGCGATGTCGCATTAAATAACCTTTTGATAGAGAGATGTCCGCAGAGCCCTGTCAAGCTGTCGCAAACATAGATATCGTCTCTGTGGAAACATGAACTTATCATAAGTACGGTTCGCGCGTGCACTTGCCATAAAAGAAAAACAAGTCAGAGAAGACATCAATGACATGCATTTACATGTACTCGAACTGTGACCCGACACGATAAAATAAATATTCGTTAAACAAACTCTTATTGAATATAGATCATTAAAAGTATCGTCGATGCACTCACTTTCACGTTGCATTGCCACCGTCTGTCACGCGAAAATGCTTCCAAACAACGATAACCCAAGTCCCCAATTATAAGGTTTCGCCGTGGACGTGTTTAGTCATGATTGTACAACTGTATCGCATTGTCTAACTAACTGATTCGCTGACAAGTGGGGCAATGCGCGCCTTGGATTATTGACTATTCACAAATAGTATGCCAGGCCACTTCATCGCGTCTAAACGGACGTTGTTATGCAAACGAGTGTAAAGCCCATTTTTAATTGCATCGCCGCCTTCAGTGATCGACATGGTTACGGTGTACCGAGTTTTTTGGAATATTTGTCTTTGATGGTTGGGGCGGAATAAAACGTTATTGGAAATAAATATTTGTTTCAGTCACGGTGTCATCATCAATCCCATCCAACAACAAAAAATATGGTCGACCTAGAAAACAAAATAAGAGACTGTAGTCTATTTCCAGTTCTGCAATCATTATGAATACACTCCGGTGTTACTTGTTCATGTTCTGCTGCAGAATTCCACACTAGAGGTAAACTTCCTGTACAGGGACTCACATCCACGTACGAAAGTTGACATGCATGTGTTGTCCTAAAGTTTCGTGTAAACAATTAGATTCAGTTGTTCCGGTCGAAAACCGATTGACTCAGTACACTGACGTCTTTGTCAAGTTCCCTAAAATGAATTGAAATAAATGATATAATTTGTTTTTTTTTGTTTGTTTTTTGTCATATTTTGAACGGTTTTGATCAAAACCCTTGGGTAATCAAAACTTCAGTACATTTGAACTAAATTCAATATAGAAACTGCAGAAAATTTAAAAAGAAATATGCATAAAGTGTGGCTAAAAAAAATCGTACTTTTCGACTGGTTGAAGTGTGTATGATTTCCTCTCATAATCCCTGTATCGAACTCATGCGACAAATATCAAAACAGACTTAAAAACAGCATTTCTATATTTCATGGTGTCCAAGCTTAAATTCACCTCTACGTACCAAGTGGTGGGCTGTCCGCCGTCAATGTAATCAGTAGAACTAGAACGTAAGGATATTTAGAACCACAGTCTGTAGCTGTATACTGCGTGTACAGACCTCTGTAGGTATTCAGTGGATTCATTTTATTCACAGTAATATGGAAATGTTTGAAACAAGTGTATTTATTTTGCGTGATGTATTGACAGAGTGGCAACTCTCTCGGCCAGCGACAAATGCTAAGCAACGCCAAGTATACTTATATCGCAGCTGTTTCAACACATGTCCGCTTAATATTATTAAATATACGGAGGTGTTGTAGCGCGATACCTAACGAGTTAACCCCCGAAATTTGCTAACTGCCACTCTGAGTAAATTCAATTGCGAAAATGATCGTTATGCATTTATTTGAAGCTGGTTTCAAGTTGTACAATTCAATTTTTTAACGGAGCGTAAATATGATTGCAATGTTTATGAACATGAATCAGAATTCGGGTGAGGCTGATGTTAGAATGGCACGGTAAAAATGCCTGGCACCAAGCAGTCGGAATTATGTTGGTATGCTATAACAAACAAGAAGGTCAACAAGGAGAGTCATGTTGATTGGATCACGTGATCACGACACAGTGTGGTTTTCAAAAAAAGTATGCCAATGCATTTTTTTAAATCGAATTTCGTGCACCAACTTACATTACAAAAATACCGAAGCAGACTATGTGATCGTAATTAGGGTAGTGTTAATGGACACCCCCAATCCTTCACAAGAACAATGTTGATCATTTCAGTACTCGTGTCTCATTTCATTGTGTCGAAATGCACTGAATTAAGTTCTTAGTTCTTCCAACAACATTTTAGTGACTAAATGTTCCTCTGATTTATCAGCCGCTACATCCGGTCATTCAAAATGAATCCAATCAATATGACGGTTGAATTTGCATTTTTTCCTCCAAAATATACTTTTACAATATCTGCTTGATTCGCTGGTGAATCTGTACTGTTCTCATACAATTTCCAAATTTTTGGGTTAACAAAATATTGAAAACGTGTGATACTTGTAGGTACCGTGTTAGGGATAGTATGGGAGTTCTTGAGTAGGCATACGACTATTCTGTACAGTTGTATATATATATAACCATGGCGACTGACTGTTATATGCCACATTTTTGCTTCTCACTGTAATATGGAAAACGCACTAGTCGCGTGGCCAACATTCTTACATTATATCACTGTCGTAAACTGATCTTCAAAACACCAGCAACCAAACTATTATTAAATTTTCCGATATCACAGGGATTCTTGTATTGCAGTGTGTGGTATGGCAACTAAAAGGCGCGGATACATCCATGTGTTTTAATTCAGGAAATATCGCGATTCGCAACTGGCAACAAGAAGATGCGCTAACTCATACCACACGCACATAGTGTCGAATTACATATGAATGTACTTTTCGAATCCACAATCTGATTCCCTGGTGTGTTTCATTTCAGTTACTTCGGTTGGATGGGTATCGTGTGCGCTGCATGAATTATTTTATTTTTAATAGACCGCTCGTGGAGTTAGACATACACGGCCATAGAGCTTGAATTAACAGTTTCATATTTATAAAAGTTTCTCTAAGCGTTGATGTAGAGTTCCCACTCAAATGTATAGTTAAAGGGCGGTAGTCGTCGAGCTGCGCATGTGCGACATTTGTGTTGATAAACATTGATTTCCCCACAATCCAACGCGCTCTTCTAATGGAAATGTATGATGAGGTTTGACCTGGGCGCGACTTGCACTAATTGCCCCAGTTGACTCTTTTGATACCTTCCAATCACCTAAAAAAATACCTAATTAAAGCTTGGTAACCTCTCAGTTTGTACTCGTTGATCTGCGCAACAGCCAAAGTCACCATATTTGTTAATATGAGACCCATATATCTCGCGCATGCGTGGCGCGACGACTACCGCCCTTTAAAAAGCTTTCTAGAATTTCAATTTAACGATTGTTTTCTAGTTTGCCATAACTCTCAGTATTGTGCTTTATCTTCGCAAACAACATTTTTGGTTTCAAGGTTCAATTTGTTAGTGAAATTGAGTTTTATACCCCCCTTTGCCAAACGTATTAATACGTGATCAGTCTCCCATTGTAGTGAGTCTCATTTACTAGTACATTCGTGTGATTAGAAATTGCCAAGCTCAATTAGTCAACATTGTGATATTCTATGTCCTATGACTGGTCTGTTATGCGCTAAATTACAGGCATAACACAGACGTACGAGCGTACCGCTATCACGTGATTATCATGCCAGCCGCTAAAGTGGCCGTGATCTCTTTCTGAGTTGCAGATTTCCGCCTTCCCTAGGGAGGGCATTTGTTGGTGTGCTTCGTGCGATTTGGTTGTAATTAGTAACTGTTTGAATGGTGACTGGCGAGATGAAACGTGAAATTCCGTCTTCATGGCAGCTAAGAAAGGATTACGCGAGAAAGATCAGTGACATTTCTCGTCACTTTATTCTTACGTATCGTGGCGTATGACCCACACATTTCACCCCGTATCAGTTTAATTTGCATTCACAAAAACATATTGACCGTCCCTTCAAAAGAAACCCAATTTAAGTATCCCTTTTAACAATCTCGTACTGAAA